GTGATTTCAGTTATCTGTAGTTAACAGGGATCTGAAAATATTAAAGAGAACATTCTACTTTTTTAAAAAGTATGTTTTAAATTGCATGCCATTCTGAGTAGTGGGATGAAGTCTTGCACTTCCCGCTCCACTTGGCCTGGGATGTGAATCATCCCTTTGTCCAGCATATCCGTGATGGACCTGCCACCAGCCCATTCATCACTTAGCAGCTGTCTTGGCTATCAGCTCTAAAAAACAATAATTACTTATAGGGTTTGGTACCGTCCTTGGTTTCAGACATCCACAAGGAATACATTTCAAGTGTACTATTTTCACTTTGCTTGGTATAACCAACCCATATAAAACCAGCTTCCTTTGAGGCTCAATTTAAAATTCTCCATTGGACCAGTCAGTAACACAATAGTGGAGGTGGCTGGATCCCCCATGGCCGACTACACGGTTTGAGTCCCAGACCCTGTGACTTGAAAAACACATTGGGTGTCTGTGTGCACATGCCCACAATCCTGAAAAGAGGGAGAAATGGAGAAGGGTTTGCAGCATGATCACCACCAACAGGGGGTGCTTTCTCACTTTCCCTCTGTCTCTCTCTGGCAAGTGCACATGCCCTTTGGCAAACAAACAAAACAAAACAAAATAAAAATGAAGAAGTAGAAAAACATTTTCTTCCATTTATCCACACATTTATTCTTTCACGTAACATATGTTCTCTTGTCTCTTCATCCTCTGAGAGGTTAGGAAATGAATTAGACATACTTCTGGAATCCAGTAGCTCATAGTCTGGGAGTGGAAATAGGTCCACTTGTATAACGTTCTTAGTGCAAAGTAAAGTAGCCAGAGGCAGATAGACATTAATTCATTCACTTATTTATTTATTTTGTTTTTGCCACAGGGCACATGAGTTTGCTAGAGAGAGGGAGGAGGAAAATGAGAAATAACCTCCCCCATGGGGGATGGCCATGCTGCAATCCGTACTCCTCAGTTCTTCGGATTTTTGGGCACACATGCACATGTGTTCAAGTATAATTTTCAAGTTGGGAGGTCTGGGACTAGAACTGTGGTCCACAATGTGGGAATCCAGTGCTTTATGAACCAAGCCACCTGCTGGCCCCTAGAGGCATTTATTTTAAAGATGGTATTAATCTAACCTGAGAAGAATATTGGAAGGGAGATGGTATGTATCATGTAACAGAAGCATGAAGTTTTGTGTTCTGGCGTTAAATCTCAGTTTTATCATTTGTTCACTAGGTTACTTCTGACGAGTTACAATAGTCCCTCTGAGTATCAGTTGCTGTATCTCTAAAATAGGGATAATTGTACAATACATAATCAAGTGCAAAGTTAATATATGTACAGATCCACTTAAAATGCTATAAAAGTTTGAATAAAGATAAGGAATTATTAGTAGTAATGATATTAATATGGCTAAAATCATGATCAAGCCTTGGTAATGATGACATTGAATGTGGTTTTTGAATTATCACTAGGATTTGAATACAAGTCTGGGGAAAGGAGATGAGGCAAGGACAACTCAAAAGTGAGAAAGAAGGGAATGTTAGCTCCAGCCAGAGGTGGCTCAATTTGGCCTCATCATACACTAAAATGCATGTTAGGGTGATCACTTGTTCTAGATTTGCCCGGAACTAAACGGCTGTCCAAGGAAGCAGAATGTTCAGTTCAAGAACGTGCAAAAGTTCTGGCAAAACCAGGATAAGTTAATCACCTTATACTAACAGGATTGTGGCACAACAAACTAGGATCTTAAAGGCCGTGTTAAAGGATTTAGGTTGCAGTTGTACACAATATGAAGCTCTTCAAAGTTCTTGAAGAGCAGAGTAAATATCAGAAGTGCATTTCAGGCAATCTGACTACAAAAAAGGTTTTATTTCTCCTCCTTGCTCACTAAGTCTCTTACTTATTACTCCTCCCACAGTGCTCTCCTTGAGTTTGTTTTAGGTAGTGACAAATCAATGAATCAAACAGAAAACATTTACATATTTCTATGTGTACAGGACAGTGGAGAAAATCAAGATATATTAGCCAGTGAAATAATATAACATGGTGTGTTTTCTTTGTTGTTTTTAAGAGATATTTTTGCTATAGGGTACGTGTGCTCATGAGAGAGACAGAGAGACAGAAAGCAAAAATATCACTCCCCAGCGGAGATGGCCATGCCATAATCCCTTTTCCTCCTTTCTCCTCTCAGAATTCTGGGCATGCATCCACATGCACCCAGCATGAGTTTTAAGCTACCAGGTCTAGGACTCAAACCATGGTTGACTATGTGGGAGTCCAGCGATGTAAGCACTACACCATCTGCTGGTCTCTAACACAGTGGTTTTAAAGGAAGGATTCCAGGGCCAGAATGACAAGGATTCAAATCACAACTCTGCATTTTACCTTCTTACCTTTGATAAGATATTAACCCCTGATCTTCAGTTAAAATGCAAAATGGGGTAAATAGTATCTATTTTATAGGATTGGGGTGAGAATAACATGAGATAATGTATGCAAAAACACTTGGCATTGCAAATACATTTTATTTATTTATTTATTTATTTATTTATTTATTTATTTATTTTTTGGAGAGTTTTTTGCTATAAGGCGCGTGTGCTCGCCAGACAGACAGACAGAGACAGAAAGCGAGAAATCATCCCCCAGGGGGGATGGCCACGCCGCAATCCCTTCTCTTCCATTCTCTTCTCGGAATCTTGGGCACGCATGCACACATGCCCGGTGTGAGTTTAAGCCACCGGGTCCGGGACTGGAACTGCGGTCGACTATGGGGGAGTCCAGTGACATAGCCATTACGCTAACTGCTGATCCAGCAAATACATTTTATATAAGAAATATATTCCTGAAGCCCTCATAATCTAAGTCTGACTCATGCAAAGAATGGAAGGTGTTTTGTTTGCTGGCTAGCAAGGGTCTCTGGTCCAGTGTCAGTGGTGCAGGTGGTAGGATGCCTCTACATGATATCACAGCCATATGGGAGACCTGAATTTATCCCAGGTTATACAAACATGCTGGCTGGCTGGGAGTTTTGTGGGAGGGTCACAGGGTGGCAAGACATTGTCGAGGATGTCTCTCTCTCTCTCTCTCTCTAACGAAACAAAGAAACTTCAAAAAAGAAAACAGGAGCTTCCCTATAAAGAGTTCACTCATTCATTCACTCATTCGCACTATTTGTAATCATTTGGCTGGGCAAGTTTTGAAAGTTGAGATTCTATTTTTTTTTAATTGCCAGAAGGTGCACACAGTCTCCAGAGAGAGACATAGAGACACAGGAAGAAAGCACCTCAGATGGGGTGTAGTCACACTGCAATTCCTTCTTCATTTCTCCATCCTGTTGGGATTTGGGGCATGTAATCACATCCACTCTAACATGTACCTATCATGTTTTTCAAGCTTCTGGAGCGGAGATTTGAACTGCCCTGTTGCCCATGTGGGATCCAGCTTCCTTAACTACTAGGCTACAGAGGTAGCCATTTTCTTTCTTAAAGTAAGAGTCTCACTATGTTGCCCAGGCTAGGCTCCAAATGTGTGATCATCCTGCCTTAGCCTCCTGAGTAGTGGGGACTATGGGCAAGCATTACCATGCCTGGCTTGTTATGTGATTCTTGACAAATTTTGGATTCTTGGGTTGGGTTAAGCTCCTGAGAGGCAGGTGCTAGATGGAGATGAGCATTCAAGAGGCTTAATAAGTACTAGTATCTGTATCTGCAGGAGAAGGGAAAGATGTTCATATAACAAAGGACCCCATCAACTCCACTAGGTGCTCTGAAGCTGAGATGGCTCTTTTTGGAAGTCCAGTGTTAGAATAAAGACACTGGGTTTTTATACCCTGTTTCAATCTATGAATGAAGAGAAAAGGAGATGGTCTTGAAAAGGGCAGCTCTCTTTAGCTGAGGAAAAATCCAGAGACATTGAAGTGAGGCTTGTCAATCATTTCACTCTCAGCAAATGGTGAATAAGTCCCCGAAGGGTGGCATCTCAGCAGTGTGGTACCCTGTCTATTGAAGGCATGGTTGTCATGATTTCAGATTTATATAAAGGGATATTATATTTTATACAACATAATTTAAAAATCATATTCTCTGTGGTCAAATTATATATGTCCCCTATTACTATAATTATGTACCTCTAGGCAATTCTTAAATTTTCATCTGTTTAATGTTGTCTATCTCAGTATTTTTGATGAGGATTAAAAATCATATAATATATGGAAGGTAAAGGCAAAGTTTGTGGCATTTACATAAGTCTGGTATGTGCTAGCTGTTTTTATTAAGGGAAGGTCTAGGAATACAGAAGGACTCAGTAAGAAATAAAGAAAAGGAAACTATGTTCAGATTTTAAAACTTACAGACTGACTTAAAGCACTGAGCTTGTCACTGGCAAAGTTTACATTAATGGTATTTGACTAGTGGGTG